AGGGAGAGATGTACCCCACTTCCGTCTGAAGCTGAATTGTATTTTCTTCTGCAATCTCTACCACTGCAGGCACTACAGAACCCGGTCATGCTCAAGGTCCAGTACTTTCTCAATACTGATGAGGGAGTATAAAGGGAAAGGAACAACTAGGACCATGCACTCAGGCTATCAAGCGGAACCAGAAACACCAGCACAGCTCTGCAATAACCACAGGACAAGAAAGAGAGAGAGGAACTAGTTGCCAAAGAGAAGCTGAAGGTTTCCAGAGAAATCTGGGAAAGGATGCAGCCAAAGGAATTGGACCTCAATTGTTAGGGAGTCCACAAAAGGCTCTCTGAGACAGGGTGTTTACACACATTGTTTAAACAGAACCCCACACTGAACACAGGACTCACAGCACAGCAGAGGAGACATGGAGAAATGGAAGAGGAGCAGACGTAAATGTTTTCAGCACGTTTGCCAAAACAGTGTGGGAGAGACTGGACCCAATAGTCACGCTTCTGGGAGGGTAAATAGTGTTAACCTATCAGAGCATAATGCTGGAGGTGGCACAGACCAAATTAGATAAAAGGACACCGTACCTTTTTTGGCGTCTGAAGCGAAAGAAGGAGCTTTGGAACGCAAGGAATTCAGTATTCTACTTAGTAAGAAGTGGGGAGCCAACAAGTTGGAGGGGGAAAATCCTTGTGAACCTGAAAGGGTGAATGAAGAGTGACAATTCCAAGGAGAGATGGAATAGACTATGGGCCTTTCACAAAGGCTAAGGATATACTGTAAGACTTTTCATGAAATAGCTCCTGTAAATGCTCAGATACTCATGGTTTAAGAGCCAAGCAGGGGCCAATGGACACAACAATGTGAACTGTTGTAAATAGATGTAAATGCAAAAGGAGTATGGAGTCCAGAGAGTGTTTTCACACCTCAAATGGCTCACAGAAGCTCAAGTATACCATATGTAATAAAGTAACCTTGCATGTAGAGCTGTAATAAAGTTTATTTCTGCAAAAATTGTTTTGTACTGTAGATGGTAGTTGGCTATTAAATTCAACTATTAATTTTTTGGTGTTAGTGTGGCCAGCAGGGGGTGCTCACCCTGCAGTTTATGTGGGTCCTAATGCCCAAGTATAGTAACAGGGCCACTATACGGTACACTAAACTGTAAAAAGGTATGGTCCTGACTCTCTTTGGTCATTAAGCAGCCAGAAGCCATATCACTCTGCAACTCACAACTGGCAACCCACTGAAGCTAAGCAGGTGTGAGCATGGTCAGTACCTGGATGGGGAGACCTCCTGGGAAAAACTAAAGTTGCTGCTGGAAGAGGTGTTAGTGGGGCCAGCAGGGGGCACTCACCGTGTAGTACATGTGTGTCCTAATGGCCCAGTACAGTGACGGGGACACTATACTAAACAGGCACCGTCCTTCGGATGAGATGTAAAACCGAGGTCCTGACTCTCTGTGGTCATTAAAAATCCCAGAGTGTTTCTCAAAAAGAAAGTGTGTAACCCCGGTGTCCTGGCAAAATTTCTCATTGGCCCTTACCACTCATTACCTCCTAATAGTCCCATCTATGGCTTCATTACACTGTTCTCCTCCTCACTGATAGCTGATGTGTGGTGTGTGTTCTGGTGCACTATGGCTGCCGTCGCATCATCCAGGTGGATGCTGCACTTTGAGTAGAGTGTCCTAAAAGCACTATATAAGTGTAAGAAATTATTATAAAAAATCCCAGGGTGTTTCTCGAAAATAGGTAGGGGTGTAATCCCGGTGTCCTGGCCAAACTTTCTATTGGCCTTTACCAATCATGGCCTCCTAATAATTCTCATCTATGAATTGGCTTCATCACTCTGTTCTCCTCCCCACGGATAGCTGATGTACAATGGACATACTGGTGCACTACAGCTGCCGTCACATCATCCAGGTGGGGCTTCACATTGGTGGTGGAGGGAAGTCGCCATTACCTTTAAAGCACTTTAAGTGGAGTGTCCAGAAAAGCACTATATAAGTGTAAGCAATTATTATTGTCAGTTGATTTCTGTGTTCATGTCCATTATTGTTTATTGAAATTAGGGGAATCTTTTCTATAGAGATGCTTTAATAAATTGATTAGATGATCACTGTTTAGACTAATAGAACCTTAATGTGTTTTCAGAGCCCGGCATATTCAGAATCGTATTGAAATTGTACAACAAAAATCATGAAAAATGCACAGCCGTAGGTTTAACAAATGAAAAGGTTTACATGTGACAATTTCAGATAGAATGTACCTTTTAAATGTTATATTCAAGTAATAAAACTGGGTTTTTAATGCAGAGAAAGTGAAATGAAAAAACTGCATTTGTACAGACATGAATATCATCACAGTTTTAAGTAGTCTTCTGCTATTTGTATTTCACTTACATTCATTTATTTTTCACTTCTGCAATATATGAACACTGGCAAGTTTCTGATCCGTAGTGTAGCTTGATAAATTGATGAAATATTGATTGTTGCACTACTACACTGAAAGAATAATGTTGTGAAACAAAAGTGCTTCAATTGGAGTAGTTGGGATCATTCGTTGTTCTAATGTTGTTCATTATCCCAGCTCAGTGCTTATTCCTGTTTGTAATTTTTTAGTAAAATTAAAAAGAGCTGTAGTAATTAAAATAAATATGTACAATTGTACATGTTTTCTAAAAATAAATACAATTATATTATAGAACATAAAGTACATATGTACCTAGCAGAAAGCAGTACAAAGCATGACACTGAATTCATGCTTATCGACATGAGCAATCAACTATCTAAGGCCAGTGCAGTGCAGTATCTGTGGACTATACTTGAGCTTCAGTCCTAACTGAAGAATTTGGGGTTGATATTTGATCCTGGCTTGACACCCACATGTGAAACATATTGCCAAAACATATTTTTTCATCCTCAGAAATATTGCTAGACTATGTTCTATGTTGTATGTTATCTTTTCTCAAATTGACTACTGTAACGCTCTACTCTCTGGGGTATCTAAATCCACATTGAATAAACTCCAATATGTCCAAAATTTGGCAGCCAGAATACTGACCAGATCTAGTGCAAGTGATCACATTACTCCTATCCTGGAATCCTAGCACTGGCTTCCTATCATGTAGACTTCAAAATCTTCATGCTTTCCAATAAATTTCTGCATGGCTTAGCATCTCAGTAACTGTCTGAGCTACTATTGTTCTGCTCCCCACCTCGCAGCCTTCATTCGTCAAATTCTGGTTTCTCATCTGTCCCTAGCCAGTCTACACTCTATGGGAGACAAGGTCCTCTAGTGTTATGTCCCAAAGCTCTGGTACTCTATTCCAAAGGATATCAGAGAGTCACCTTCCCTGAGTTGTTTCAAATCAAGCTTCAAAACCTTCTTTTTTAGAAGGGCTTTTATTTAACTGGTTCTACACAATGTGCCCCTTCGCTCCTGCTGTATTCCGTAACCCCTTGTACTACCTCCTCTCATTTGTATATTCACTGTGTACAGTATATTTCATAAATTTTTTGTTGTACTGTATAGCACCCTGAGAAGCCACTTTTAAAGGTGCTTTACAGAAATAAAGTTTATTATTATAGTAATTTTGACAATTTCTGTTATACACTTAATTACTTTTGTTACAGTATTTAAGATATTAACAAGTTATTAATGCTAAAGTACTGTAACTTTCAAAATTTGTCAACTTTATTATTGCAATGTATGCAATTATTGTACTGTTTCTAGCAGTACAGTGTGGAAACATTTTCAGGGTAAGAAACAGTGCTTTATGTGTCTTTTATCAAGCACTCAATCTGTAGGCTAATGGTGCATTTCTGACAGCATACTATGTTATGTGCTTTCTAAAATGTGGACCTTTCTTTTTGAAGATAAAGTTTTATTTCAGGAGAACTGTGAATCAGATTTTAAGCAACTGCAAGTAGAAGATAAAGTTTGGTGTCTTGACAATTTCTGCAGGATTTGTTAGAATTGTGACTTTGAAATTGACTCTGAAACTATGCAGAAAACTGAGAGGTAGTTAGAACAACTCTGGATAGGTCATTTACATTATATATACATTACAAATTATATATTTATATATATATTACATTATAAATATAATTAATCACTGCTGATGCAAAACCATGATTTTTGTAACTAATAAAAGATCTGAATCTCTTCCCTGAGATTTAATATGGCATGATTACAATAAAAATAAAATAAAACATTTTATTCCAGATTTTTTTCCCTTGCACTACCTACTGTTACTGTATCTTTTAAAAGTCTTTCTTCCTCATCATCTGGCCAGGTGGCTATAGGCAGTTGACCAACTGCCTGGGCAGATGCCGAAATTGCTTAAAATTCTAAGCTAATTTGGCATTTGCCCCAGGCATCTGGGCACTTCGCCATTACAGCAACTGCCCAGATTCGGCAACTGTCCATAACATATGTATATGCCAAAGTATTTTTGTGTTTTACCCAAATAAATAGTTATACCTGTTTCGGTATTTTGCACAGCATTACATCCACACATATTTTTACAACTGATATAATAATGGGCCTGGAGTCTTCCCTTTCATTGTTCATATTGTAGGAAGATTATTAAGCATGTATAGTACATCGCATTCATTTTCAAGCTGTGAACTTGAAAATAAAGTTGAAACTTGCTATTCATTTGTCATCTGCCTTTATCCAGACCTTAATTTGATACGACATTGTACATAGCAATTGTTCACAGCCCTTTTTTGCCACACATTGTGAAAAAGAAATCTGCTGACAAATACTTTATTGGTATAACATATCCATTTAGTTTCACTCTAATTGCTGTGTAAAATTTTAATGATTTAAAGTTCTGTATCTAAAAGGTGTTAAATACTTATTTCTTAATTAAGACAGAGGGATAGTTTAAAAAACAAGAAACATAAATCTTCTATGCTAAGTGTGTACAACACTATTTCTCTTTACTTTTTAAATTTGTTACAGATCACTAATTATTGAAGGAAGGGTTTTTCTTACCTGGGGATCAAAAAGAAAGAAAGGGCGTCCTCTGCGCATTTGCAAGACTACATACTCTTCTTGTTCACCAGGAGATATAGCCAATAGAATCAGCCCATCTTCTGCTCTCGTTCTGAAGCTCAGCTTAATGCCTGAGATTTGAAGACAGACAGTTACATTTTGCTTTTAGAAATGAGAACACGTAGAGTGTGGTTAAAAACAACATGCACAGTACAAAAATTTTACCACAGGGCATATTAAAACAGTATCACAAATTTTAGGTGCACTGAAAGATGCACTTTGAAAGAACAAAGGTTAACATATAAAATGTAAAAAACAGACTTGTGTTTTTCCTTACCTGTGTTTAGTGCTCCATGCAGTATAAACTGTAGTATGTGCTCTAAGTTTACAAGTGACACATTGATATGCCAGAACAATGATTTTTTGTTAAAATCTTTAATGTTTGATCCATCCATTTTCCAACTGCTTTATCAATTACAGCTTCACAGTGGAGATGGAGCCTATCCTGGCAAGCAATGGGCACCAATCAGGATACACTCTGGATGGGATCCCAGTCCATCCAGACTATCCAGAGTCCATACTCTCTGCACAGGAATCAGGACACACACAGATACAAACATGCAGATACTCATTCCATGAACCCTGAAAGGCCCCAGCTCTGTGAAGCAGTAATGCTTATCACTGCATCACTGCAGCACCCTTCCTTAATGTTATGGTGCAAAATAAAAAAATATATATATATGTTTATTAGAATACTACAATGATGTTCTTTAGTACAGAAAAATAATATACTATTTTATTTATTTTTCCACCAGAACTTTTATGATAAATCTGAGTACAGAAAAAAAAAATAAAACTATGAATATAGTTTGTTACAATAGCTAAAGCAAAAACATAGAAGAACAGTAAATATGCTTTAGCATTACAATTTTGAACTAATTTTTGAACTAATGAAGTAAAAATACACTGGATTACTGTATGCATGCATTTATTTTCTCTATGGCAAATGCATATGATTATATTTTGCAATGTGAACAACACACATACCACAATAGCATTTTTAGGGAAGATAGTAATTCAGTTACGTTTCTTCTTGAGGAAAAAAATAAAGTATATATAAAATTAAACTTTTATTTCTGATTTAATCTCTTATGTATTTCTTATTCAAGTAAATAATTCGCTTTAATTATTGTGTGAAATGGTAATAACATCTCAAGAATACTACGACAGACTGTAAACCACTACATTATGTAAATCAATAGAAAAATTTATAATATCACACAGGGAAGAGTAGTAACCAAAATTAATAATGCTTTTGAGTATTTCTTGTAAAAATAACTTTTAAATGAGATCTCATCTGAACTGCTATACAAACATAAAATTCAGACATTGAAGAGAATTTGATTCAGCCAAAATTATGGAAACTATAGATAAAATGGGTTGACTGAGGAAATGTATTTCATACCTCAGAATACAGTGCTGTCACTAATATCTGGTGTTTGTTGGTTGGTTCCTTAGCAGACCAACCTTTTAAATACCACCTTATGGTTTTGAAATTTTAAATCTGAATTTCATGGGTGTAACCATGCTTATACACAGTATTAGTTTTGTACTTTTCCTATAAAAAGGTGCATGTTACATATAATATAAATCCACACAGATTTAAAATACACATTAAAATAATGGGTCTCATGAAAGGTTTTAGAATTACACTGTATATAAATATATAACAAATAAAATATATATATTGTTAAACAAATGTGGATAATAATACCATTCTTGCTTTGCTGAAAACTGTTAGGAACCATAGAAGCTGAAGTGTAGGAGCTGCACATAGTGTCTTTTTCAAATTAGTATAATACACATGCTGTCTTTTTAAAATGTTTAGGGATAAATACTGTATGATAAATTGTTCACATATCCATGATGGATAGATGTAAAAAAACAGTTGCTTGTTACCATCCAAGTGAAAAAACACACTTTGTTAAAAGGTTTTCCTTGTGTTCCTTGTCTTTGGATTTGAACGTTTTTTATATTTAAGTTCATTTAATTACATAGCTATTTTCAAGAACAAACAAAACAGAACAACACAAATGTTTTTGCTAAAATAATTTGACTTCTTGCTTCAAAGCCATCATCTTTGAGAATGCAACCTCAGCAGCAAGCTTAGAAGTGTGAAGCCTAAAGACATTTAAAGTTAAGTATTAACACTTGATAAGTGTGGAAATGTATGTGCTTTATAAAATGATTTTCAGAAACTGTTGTGTCTAATGTTGTATAAAAAACAAAAACACTGAATTCTTTCTTTAGCAGTTTTATATAAGTTTTAATTAATAATAGATTAATTAAAATGTTAGTTTTTTAAATTATTAAATAAGGAAATCAAATCAGCTTTCCACTTTATTTTCCATATGAAAATCATATTTTAGCTTATTTTCACTATAAGCACAGAGAAAAATCTTCATATATAAATTATCAAATGCTATTGCTTCGTAACTACTAACAATAGTACTAACACCACTTTGCATTAAAACATTCTGTTTTGAAAATACAGATGCTTACATTCTTTAGCCGAAACTTACAGTATGTTCTCTTACATTTTTGATATCGCCTCTTCATAAGGTCAAATATTTTTAAATAAAATACACAAATCTAAAATAAAACATGTGTGTTGGGGGGAGGGCAAAGATTATTAACTGTCTTATTTGTTTTGCCTATATGATGGATTTGATGCTTTATTTCTTTTCTACAAACCTATTATTACCACCATAAGTAAAACAAACAGGACAGTTTGGCTCTAATCTGCTTAGTACATAACCTGAATAACTTCAGTCATGTTTGCATTAATGCTGCATTAATCACGTTGTTGCGTATTAATGAGTTTTCAGGAAATGCTAATTACTGTCATAGATTCTGCAGCACCCCATTAAATATACAAATTACAGAATTAAAGAGCCAGAGCTTTTCATGATTAATCTTTAAATGGGGAAAAACTAATGATGTCTGTACAAAGTTTCTCTCTACTTTCGGCTGACTGAACCCATTTGACAATCAATCAAATTAATTAAGGAAAATAATTTGTATCATTTAACATTTTTCCATAGCAATAATATACAGAAGAGGAAAATTGTTTCTCTGTATTCAAGGCTCTCATTTGCCAGGTCTACATTTAAATAACATTTTGCATGAAAACAGTGGCCAAAGAATGCCATAAAGTGTTTTTAACACTCCTGTGTCAAGATCAAGCTGTGTATTCCAAAGTTAACTGAAACATGTTCTAGAAAAACAAGAATACAACTTCCTGATCTTTGCAAAAAACATGTCAATATCAAATAGCATAAAGTCATATACAATTCTCTAGTGCCAGTTTTTTTTTTGGTGTGTACATATGTTTATGCTTTTCCTTCTTATTATATATGGGGATGAAACTGAATGAAAATTCATATGTAGGGTGGAGTGGTGGCACTGTGGCTAAGGCTCTGCGCCCGTTGTTTGAAGGTTGCCGGTTCAAATCCTGCGGCTAGCAGAGAAATCCTACTACATTGGGCCCCTGAGCAAAGCCCCAGCTATTCCAGGGGCACCGTATAAATGGCTGACCCTGTGCTCTGACCCCAGGCTTCTCTCTGTCTGTGTGTCTCATGGAGAGCAAGGTGGGGTATGCAAAAAGACAAATTCCTAATGCAAGCAATTGTACAGTATAAGGCCAATAAAGTGATCCAATCTGATGTATTTAATTTCTATAGCTTTGCTTCAGCTTGAACATCTTGAGTAAGCAAGAGGAATAGAACTTCATGGACATTGTTCCTCTACTGTGACATAAAACACATAATGCGCAAGCAAAATAGTGAACCAGCTCTGTCAGAGAATCTTAAAAGGGGTCTTTACTTTAATTCCAACATGATTCAATTTTAAAACTAATGTTTTAAAGTCCCTTGTTGGGTTTTGGGGTTAGAAATATAGCAATGCCACTTTCATTTCATTTGGAGAGTACTCCTCTACAATGTTTGAAACTATTCATTTTGTAACATTCAAATACGTAGACCCCTTCTGAAATGAATGTCACATGATACAGTACAAATTTTATTGAGCAACCCTTTACTCACTAAATCAAGCACCTTCAACAACTCACAGACCACAGAGTCAATTTGAAAGCTTTCATGAAACCTGCACTGAATATTCAGTTTTAGTATTCTGAATATTTATTACTACTAGGAGAGAATACCGCTCTGATACAGGACCTTAGTTAATGGGACAATAATGAATATGCAAAAGGAATATTGGCTCTGCAGAGCAAAGTTCATAAGGATGGTACAATTTTCCTAGCTTATTCCTCCCCACTTTCATTAGTTCCTAGCCATTTATAATACCACCAGGACCAAGGACAAGCACTTGCACTGACTGGTACCATTGATCAATTAGGTTAGAGATGAACTCAACTAACACCTTGATTTATAAAGATTTATCCATTTGTCATTATTTAAGAAAACCTGAAAATTGCAGTGCTAAATGTTAATAGAGTTATGGAAAAATGACCATTCATTTTCTGAAATAGCAAGGTCAGAAAAGGTTACCCATTTATATACACGCTTTTCAAAAGGCAATTGAATAGCACATACTTCTGAAGAGAGGTGTATTAATTGGCTCTTTTTATATAAATAAAGTATTATTTCTCTGGTACTCCAAAGCCACATATGAAAGAAATAAAGAATACTGGAGCATTGAAAGGAATTATCCCAATTGTTTTTTTCAGAACATCAACTTGTAATGTGAACAGATATATAACATATTTAATAATTATGTAAATACAGTCAAGCCCGATTAATATCATTTCTGTTCATGTCACCCTCTGCTTACCATCAAATTGAAATATCCCAGACAGGAAATAATGTGAGTCAATGCAAACAAGCTCATGATAATACAGTTTCGGCAACTGTCACACTCCAGTTACCATCAATTAATATTTTATATCTTGTATCTGATTTCTTCCATACTTAATGTTTTAAAATTGCCTACACCTTAATAATAAAAGCACTCTACAAATAAGTGCTAGAGCTGTGTAATATGTTGAAGTACATGTCTCCCATGTGTCAATAAATCTGGAGGATGAAATGATCTCTCTTGGATGTGTGCAACAAGGTTTCTTCACTGAGGTCACAAACATTTCCTATTTCAAGTTATATTATGTTGCAACATCTTCAGAAACAGGTGAGATAGACATCTTTAAAATATTTAAACAAGAATAAATATTGAAACGTGTTAGGAAACGTCTAACATCTCCTCTAACATGAAATCAGTACAATTAAGACAATGAACAAAAATGAAAACAAAATGATTTCATATTATATGGTCTATAGTGGAGGGTATCATGGTGGCATGGTAGCACAGTGATTAGCATTGCTGCCTTGCCTTGCTGGGGCCCTGAGGTCAATTCCAGACCTGGGGTACTATCTACTTGGAGTCTGTATGTTCTCCCCGTGCTCACATGTGTTTCCTCTGGGCGCTCTGGCTTCCTCCCAAAGTCCAAAAACATACCAGTAGTTTAATTGGTTTCTGAGAAAAAGAGTGCTTGGTACTGTATGAGTGTGTGTGTCTCTGTGTGTCTGCCCTGTGATAGACTGGTGTCCCACCCTGGGAGGATCCTGCCTTGTGCCCGCTTGCCGAGATATAGTAGGCTGCGGCTCCTCCACCTGGAAAAAACTGTCGGAAAATACATGGATGACCTGGACTGATGCTAGTGTCTTAAACTTTCTTTTCTTTACAGCACACTGAATATTCTATACTACATGTAACAAATAATAACACTGATAGCCACTAATATTTCTTTATTTTGAAAACATGAAATGCAATTAAGAACATAATTCAAACAAATGGATATATCAAATCTTTTGGAATTTGTAGATGAACCAGAACAGGTTTTTTATTTTCAGTGCATGCTACATTATGTTATGCAATGGAAATATATTATATTGTGTAATCATCTGTGTCATTTATTTAGTAAGCAGATCTAATTGAAAAAGTTTTGTTATAACACTTTCTGCTATAGTTTTAACTGCTGTTTCAGATATGATTCCAATTGTCAGAAGTAGCTTCTCTCTTTATATTGTAAATAAATTGTAGCAAAAATAATAAAAAATAAGGAAAACTCAGGAAATATTGACACATTCTGAAATACTTGTATACTAAATTAAATCAAAATCATAATCCACTGACCAATCACAGATACCCTGTGTGTATGTTACTTGATGGAAGCTTTATATTTCCCAAAAGCATATTTTATTTACCCAGCTGAAAACTGCTATTAAATACTTGTTTTGGCTCTTGTAATGGCTCTTGAGTGCTGGTATAACCCAGACCTCAATTCATTACAATAACCGTTTTCCTCAGGTCTTCAGAACCTGTCAATTAAAATATGAAAACATACATTTTCAATGTTTTAAGTTTATGTAGGAATGAAAAAGTATATGAAGCAGGACTGGTCTTCTGTGACTGTCTGTGGGTATTACATGATTCAGATAAAAATAGAAAGGATTTCTGAAATCTAAGCTGACAAGATGAAAGTATTTTTAATTTATTATGAACAATTTTACAAGTTGCCTGGCAAAACCACCAAAATCATCAGGCTTATGGGAGATGTTTAAAGCAGGAAAAAAAAGACCTTTATAATAATCTTGAGAGGAAAGATCAACCATAACCCGAAACACTGAACTGACAGAGCAAATATAATAAGCATGTGATTCAAAAAACAAAAATGTCACATACTTCCTAACATTTTGAATCTCACCACCCTCTTATTTTATATGTAAACTAAACAAATAATGTGGAGTGCACTTCACATCTAAGAATACATCACTACAATATTTAACTTACTGTAACAGTCCTGAAAATGAACAAAAACATACCTGTAAAATAAGTATTGACTGGAAGAGTTGAACTTGGAAACCTGATGTAACCATGACCCGGAAACCTGGTTCCTCTTTGGAAAGGAACAAGAGGGTCAGAAAGTGATGTATCCGTCCTCTCCACCTGGTAAAGTGGGTGAGGCCCATTCAGCTCCTGTGGTTGGTCCCAGGACACTTCAATAACTGACATGTTGAATCCCTTTAACGTAGGAGCACTTAATCTTGCTGGAGCTATGGTGGAAGAAAAAAACAGTACATTTAAAGTCAGTTCACAGATCTGCGGATACTGGTAATGATGTAAATGGTTTTCTCATATCTAGTAAAAGGGAGTAAATTACCTCAGGCTGACACATCCTATGTGCATTTAGTCCATTCAAAGTCTGAGAGCATCCATGGGATGGAAACTAATAAAACTCTTAAATGGGAAAGGGACGTGTTGTCTTCGCATGCCTTATGTGCATACAAGCCATAAATTATATTCAATCAATATTACTAGGGTCTATATAATTGAAACTGTGATATCATTTTAAATTCAGTCTGCTGATTTAACAGGGATTGTTTAAAGTCTCTGTGGACATTCCTTTTTTTTAATATGCTTGAAAGGAAACACTACATTCTGCTAAACGGTTGTTTTTTCACTGTCAAAGGAGCATATAATTTAAAAAATATATTAACAATCCTATTTTTATTTCTAAAATGTATAAATGTGTGACAAGGTGAAAGACCTGCTAATGAGTTAACTGTCAAGGTAGACTGCCATGTCAAAATATGGAGGGGAAATTCTACTTAATGAGATCCTTACATATTCACATGGCCAATTAGGAGCAGGTAATTTACCAGGTAATTTACCAATTAACTACTTAATAAAAAAATAATTAAAAAAAGGTGCACAAGGCTAACAGTGAGAGAGAAAAATTTGAGTTCTGATCACTGAAGAACACTATCCAAGACAAATTTTGTCTAGTCTTATTTTGTAATACATCTTTATCAAGAGTCCCAACGCCAAATTACAAAAAGGCAAAGGAAGTGCAGTCACTTTTTATACAGAAAAGTTTTCCACATTTGAGGGTACATTATTGCTGAGGCATCATTCAACTTTAATCAGCTTCTTACATTCCAAACATTCTGTCAAATGTGAAAAAATAATTCCATTACCTGTTATACATCATAAACAAAATGTTAACAAAAAAGATAATTTTACATTTAATAACAAGTATTATTTTAAATCTAGTAATACTAAAATATGCCAGTATTAAGGAACAGTATTGACTTGAAAATAATACTGTATATACTGAATTATTTAACAGTAAATATATAGTTATCTATTTCTATATTTTATATAAAGTTTAGTGTATCTGATTAACACTAATGTAAACATCTGTTGCTTTTTGTTTTATAACACATGCTTAAATTAACACTTTTAACATGCTTGCCTAAAACAAAAGTATCCAAATATGCAGTTATTCAGATATTGTAATGTTTTTACTTATTTATGACATATCAGCATCCAAACCTATCCATAATGAAAAGTCAATTTAACAATTTAGCAAAGTAAAAATAGGTTAAAAAAAGGATTGTTTAACACTTTAAAGGTAAGTAAAAGGAATACTGAGTATTTTCATAGTCTATCTAAAAAAATAATTACATACATTTATAGAAACATAATGTTCAAATTTGTTCAGACTCTGTACATTTGTCCAAAATAATGTATACCTCTATCGTCAACAGTTGCCTGATGTTTTCACAAAGCCTCAGAAAGTTTGTAGACGTTTCTGGAAGTCAGCATGATAGTGGGTGTTAAAACATGCTGAACACATATGCAAAACAATCAGTATCACATTATTAAGGACAAAGTCAGAGAATTTTTCGAAGACTGAAAAATATCAACATCAACAAATCTTGGGACTGTTTTAAATAAATAAAATCTATAAAACATCCCAGTGTCAAAGATAATGTCTATAACCAAGAAGTTTGAGGCTATTGGGTACTATTCCCATAGAAAGAATGTGTAAGAAAGCTTAAGTTAATGGGTGGTCGGAAAATTAGTATGGGAGGCTAATGCACATCAAAAAGCAATAATATGAAAACTTCAAAAACATTCACCATTGTTCTCATGAATCAGATGTCTGCGACAGAGTTCTATGGCGGCAGAAAAATGTTTCACAATACAACTGTGCGTATTGCATCATCTTGTTTGTCTTAGTATCTGGTAATAAACAAAAACAGCCAGACCAAAACTACTGTTTGAAGAAAATTACAATTTATACCCATATATACAAATCTTCATACATCATACATACTCAGAGACTACAGAGTTAGGAAAAACATACAGTACGTGAATTATTGTAAATGCAAAAATGATATCAATAAGAATTAAAGAACCAAAAGCACTACAGGAAAACTAAGTAGATTTAAAAGTGGAATCTTATTTATCTAATGACTGAATAGGGTTTTAATCCACTATTACAAATTATCAAGAAAGGGTCGAGCTTTAGGTGCTCAATTACCCCTTCCAGGGTGACTGTTGGAAGAGTTTTTGTGATATCTCTTGTTTCTTTAATTGGTAGAATACTGTCAAGCCCTTGAGATCTGTTTACCTTAAGTGCTTCCTTGTAGCTGTAGCACTTCTGCCTCTTTTATACTGTTACAAATGAGGGTTACTAAAATGGTGAAAATCAGGATTTGACCAAGCGGTTTAGTCAATATAGAAGAATAATTATTCATAACCCCCAACCTGTAAGTGATTTCTAGCAATATACCCGAGCGACTGGTATAATTAGAGGTACAGCTTTGGTAAGAGGAGTAACAATCCAGACACACATGGTTAAACGGATATTTATTACAATGATAAGACACAAACTATACTACACACCACAAAACATACAACACACAAGTTACGCTAGGTACTGTAACCCCGAAACTGCTACTAGGCATTAAACTCTTAATGCCTACAAAGGCCACATAAGAGACGAGCTGCCTTCTAACTAGATACAATGCAACCTGCAGTTAAATCTCACTGCACCCCGAATGCCACAAAATAAATGGGAGCCTACTATATACCCCTATCAATAAAATGGACCCTAATCAGGAAAGACATTTCTAACTTAGGTATCTTTTACCCAGGAAACCCAAGTTCCCTAAAAACACAAAATAGCATACTCTCTCTAACAAGGTTCAAATACTTGGCTCCAGTCGGGTTTGGTTTGGAATATGAAGAAGGAGCTCTCGTCTGGCGCAAGCTTCAAGTCCCAACTCCTGCGGACTCCACTCTCTTCTCCATGCTTCTCTTTGTTTCTTTCTCCTCTTTCCCTCTTGTTCTTGCTCTTAATGTTATCTTACTGTATATAGTGTGTTTCTGTACTGCTCCCTGGCAATCATTAATACATAACTTACCTCGGTATACTAAGGTAGGCTTTACCATTGTTTCTGCTCAAGGGACCCCCCAAGACCTCAGCAAACATCCCCTGTTTTTTAAAGTTAGAAGTATTTACTCTTCCAAGTGTCACAAACTTTATCTAAAATCTAAAAGACACTTCTCAGTAACCTAAAGCTGTAACAGTACTAATAATATTCAATACTTAACTCTATCTCTCCTTAGCCTGAGGCATGTTGCTTATTTCTTCCTTGAAATGAACCTGAATCAAATATTAATTTAATATTAAATTAAATAATACATTTTATAGATAAACCATTTCTCTTTCATCATGTAGACATTTCCTATTATTATCCCTGAGATGCTTCCTATACTACGTAGTAATCACATATTACTACGTACTAATTAAAAGAACAGGAGAGTTTTTCTATCCACACAATGTGTTTGTATTTGAATCAAGGCACTTCCAGATTTAAAGTTTTTGAATACATCAGGAATACATCAGATCTATTATCAGAAGCAGATTGCCCTCAATGAAAAATTGTAACTGCTTTTCATTGATTTTATTTTTAATTTAAAATTATAAATACAACAGCCTTTAGTTGACTTCTTATCTCAGTGCATTAATTTCCTTTTTAAGCATAATACAAAGATGTAACTTATAATTAATTTATAATTAACAGGTTAGTATCACCTTAGATGTATTAACTAATTAAGTATTGCTTCAGCATACAAACTAGAATAATTATGAACAGGATTACTGTTTACAGTTTACATTAAGTTTGACATTTTTTATGAGGCATCAGGTCATGGCCTTCTTAAATGCACTGTAAGACATATTTCTGTAACAGGAAAAGTATTGATTTTTGAATAACTGTCTGACCTTCTTTGGAAGAAATACATACACCACAGCCATAGTTAATGTACCATATACAGACAAGACACACTTGTATGTCTACCTTTATTGCTGTAATGTACATAAAACATTATCGTAGACGCAGGAATAGGAGTTCACATTCAAATAAGACCAACAGTGCGGACATCTCCACACCCCAGCCAAAGCATTAACATGAATTTCATTAACTACCATTTCACGCTCTCAGCATTGTCTATTTAGACCATTATATGGAGGATTAAAAAGTAATGTGCTTTTGACTATTAAAAGGAGAATGAATTTTACTTTGTTTTAACTAATATCAGGTATATAAAACAATTTTAATCTATGGTTTGCGTGTACTGCATAGTAAGAAGGAGAACATGAAACCAGAAACCACAGTAAGCTATACATTTCTGTTTCTAAGTTTCAGTACATTTCAGAATACTATATACTGTATATGCGGCAAATAGGGCAAAAAGTAGCAGAACTGCCTTTAAACAGTAATTTTAAGCAATCCTTATGGCCTAATTAAGAGAATAGTATAAAATGCTTTTTAGATACTGCACTTGCTACAAACAATTTAAATAGCAAATGCTGTAATTTTGTTTCATACAGATTAAAAATAGATATTTTATAGTGAAATAATATTAATCACCAAGTGATACATGGGAAAAGTAATCAAACAACTTTATTATGGGAGGAATGAAATGCCGGGTTTTATCACAGTAAATTTAAAGGGCATTATTAAAAACTGGAAACTTCAAATCCTAATCTAGTACATCCTGACATTTCTCAATTTGCAAAGGACTTCCTCATGTTACTCAGATTTCTCATGCTCAATACCAGGCAGGCTAAGAGGGTATAGTTAATCCTGTTGAAATACACTTTAAATGTTTAACCCATAAAACTAGACATGTAACTTTATTTTCTAAATATTAACTAATAGTCTCATCAACCTTTTCTTTATAAACCACAGGAAAG